AGATTGTTAAGTTCCATTTTTTGCTGTATTTTTATTTATTTTATTTTTACCTAATTTTTTAAAGAATTTTTCGGCACTTGTAAGTTGCTCATGTTTTTGGCATATATTTAGCATAATAAGGAAATTCCCCGCTCACTAAAAAGTACCGCTTTTATGTTATTGTCACGTCGTCTCTCGTGTAGCTCGTGGCAGCAAGATGTCCGATATAAATTGTCGACAAGTGGATAATAAGTCGTGTTTCTGCATAAAAGCTTAATTGCAATTAACAATTAAATTTTACCTGTTCTTTTSTTTTGTGGGTGTGAAGTATCAGCTACTGCCGCATTATTTATAAATTCCACGCTGCGTCAATTTTAGTGTTCTGCGCCGCCTTAGGAGAGATGTGTCATAATGGTATTTGTTTTCGTACCATTATAAAACATATTTTATTGTTCAGTTTTTTTTTCAGTTTATCAAGATAGTTGGGTTGTTGTCAAAAAATTCTTCCAAATAACTCTTTGATTATCTCAACTACGATATTATCACAATTAATCTGCTGATGGCCATAACTATTTCATTTACATATGTATGCTCCCTTTTATATAGTGAACAATTGCCGCTTAGATTTTTATTATATCTTATTTTCCTTTGCCTTTCTGTCCAATTTATACTTTGTTTTGATTCTTAGYTTCAAGGTTTTCCATGTCATTATATTTCATTGTTCAGTGATTGGATTTGGTAGACTTTATGTGACTGATAAAGAGAGTTCTGTAAAACAATACTAAATTATGAAATGYCCATTTAACATTTTAACCAATGAATATGGTATATTAAGTTTGCTACAWAGTTTGTAATATCCAAAGAAAAATGTCAAAAATGCCATAAAGTATATATATAAATACAGTTGTCCAAAAGAAGAATAGGAGTAAAGAATTCAGATGAGAAAAACGAACCTTTTGATTTTCATTAACAAAAAAAAAAATTGTGTTATATAATACGAACCCGTTTTAAAATTTTAACTTATAATGCTTCCAAAGTATCACAGTRTAATAAAATAATTAATATCTAGTTGAATAACCTCGGTTTTTTTAACACATCTCCAATCTCCGAGGCATGGAGTTTATGAGATCCTGGCAAAGTTTTGTTGGTATTGTTTTCCAAGCCTATTTCACTACCTGCCAAAAATTTCTCGAATTGGTTAGTTTCTTTTCAGCTAGATATCGATCGAGGTTTTCTATGGAAATGTGGTCAGGAGACTGAGCAGGCCACCGCATAATCTCAACCCCATTGCCCCTAAATAATTTTTTTTGCGCACTTCTTAGTATGTTCAGGGTCATTGTCTTGTGTATATGCTCATACCAATGGCATATTCCACGAGGAATAATTAAATATTTTGACATATGCCCTTTGATCCAAAATGTCTTCAATTAAGTGAATTGGACCAACACGATTTTCGAGCCGGCATTTGAAACGGATTTTCTTGTAAACCGGGATCTAGTATATTCCGAGTTAGGGAGACCCCGGAAAAAGTTTCTAGAACCTGTTCTACCAAATAACTCAATTTTGTGTTCGTCTGACCGCAATATGTTTCGCTATTTGGCCATGGGCCATGTTCTTTTGCAAATTGTATGCGGGCTACCTACGAACAGCTTCAGTATTAACTTACAAATTTAATTCGTCGAGGATGTTCTTTTCAGATGCAAAGAAATTAATTTTGCAGTTGGCGATTGTCTGCAGTGAACGTTTTGCGCTTTCGTTTACGAACTATGAAACCTTTTTTATTTCTATAATTTAAGTCATTTGTTACCATTTTAAAATGGCCTCCTTTTATGATTTCTTGGATCTCTAGTTTTTTCTAGTTGTCTCAATTTTTTTTTTTTTACATTTTCCGCTTTTTCTCTACCCACTGGAGAAAAACAAAATGATTAAATAAAACAATAACTAATTAAAATTGCTGCTAGATATGGAACTATGTTTATTTACTTTTCGAATTTTGTGAATATTTTTTATGTTAAGGATTATTTTGAGAACGAAATATCTAACACTACTATAATTTAGTGGTAAGTAATAACACCGAGAACTAGCAAAGCAGAAGTAAAATAACGATCATCACAATAAAAATGCGTTTCTCATTTTAATGCTGGTATCCCGTTATATGTACTGTTATTGTACCGCGTCATTTACATGTGATTTAAAAAATTTATGCTGCCAAAAATATTTTTAATATTGGCACTCCTAATATTTTGTGGACATTTGTAAGTGATAGATGTAGCGAACTGAGGATGCCTGCCTGTCATTACATGAACTAATGTCTCAGTTATTTAGATATCTATCACGAAATTATGAATACTTCTACCAAAAGGAAGCTATTTGACGAGACCACCGATATCGTCTCACTATAGAACAGTTCGTATAGTTCGATCGAAATCGATTCCTTGTATGGAACAGTTTTTTATTCAACAATACATCTTAATGAAATTTCGTATAGATACACTAGTATACAGTGGTTTTATTGTCCTAGATATACGATCTGCTCTTTTTGTTTCTCATCCTTACTATCTAAATTATAAAATTTTGGTTACCTAGAAAAATTTAAATTAAAATTTAGAAAAAAAAGTATTGATAGTCATACTAAACTCTTCCAAGTTACACTTTCCGATGCAGTCATAACTTTTATGAAATCTATATCATTCATGATTTGCTGTTGATAGCCAATAAAGAGTCCACCTTTCAGTTTTCCCAMACTAAGTTTGAGCATTATCTACAAATGTCCCATCAAACAATATATTTCCACCTCCMACGGTTTAACAATTGTTATCATTCCTAACTTGAACACATGTGTATTCATTGATTTAATATGTATTATTATGATGGGACCACTATACTAAACTGTATTGTTGTTTCGGTGCATCCGAAGTTAATGGTTTATCTTGTTTCGTAAACCAYTTTCTAGCTGCTGATGACTTAAATTAGACCGTAGTAATCTATTTTGAAGTCAATATCAATATAAATAGATCATTTCATCAGCAGTATTTCTTAAAAAGCTATGAGTTTACCGAGTCATAATAATTTTTCGTTGAGTTATAAAATTCATATGAAAAAAATTTTATTCTTTAAAATAATCAAGTTTTAATTTTAATAGTTTAGTTAGATTAACGAAAAAATCAGTATAGATATCATTCAAATTTCAACAAAAATCACGAAATGATATATTTTTAAGTAATTGGAAGCGAAATACATAGAAAACCATTAGCCATACTATGAGATTCTTTCTTCCAGTTGTCTATCAATTCGATTTTTCAGAGTATGAAGCGAAAAAAAAGATATGTTTTTTTTAAACAATGTTCAAAAATTGTCCAACTAAATTACGAAAATTTAGTTATTGTAAAGAATGTGTTTCGTGTACTTCGCTCAGCATAATCGGCCTAGTGAGCGTGCCATTCGCAACACCATCATCTATCTTCAGGCCAAGCATTCATTATTGGATAACATTCGAAGGAATACATTGCGTTCAGCACGTAGAAAGAAAAATTGCTGAATTTGAAACGAATAGGAATCTGAAGAGATTCAAGAGCTGTCATTTCATCTAGAAAAAAATGGTTTGATGGGCTTCGTGATCCCGCGGAAACGTCATTCCATAGTTTTTAAAAAATTATGACGATGAGAGTGTAGCCTACAATGGCGACCGTTATCGCGGTTGATAAACATCTACTTGATGCCTGAAATCGATCGTGATCACGGTAACATTTGGTTTCAACAAGACGGCGCCGCTTCCTACACATCGCATCAATCAATTAATGTATTAAGTGAACACTTCAGTGAGAAGATAATTTCACGCTTTGGGCCAGTCAGCCAGTATATGCCCGTTTCGTAGCTATCTCGAAAGCCTGTAAGTAATTTGTTCTACTCTTACGCAAAACTTTCTAAATCTCTCCGTTCATATATGGTAAAAAGTTGATTAAGTTAGTACTAGTTCGTGCAAAACACGCCTGCTTTTGTGAAGTTTCTGATTATAGTCTTACAGAACGAACCTTTAGAAGTTTCCTTTTATTTGAATCAATATTCTGAACAGTAATACAACTATTTAAGAACAAGCAAAATTTGTTCCATTTTTTTTAGGTTAATGAGTGCTTTTGTCATACAACTAAAAAGTTCATAATGTTCTTATGGTCTAGGTAGACCTAACAATCTAAGGAGATTTTAGCACTATTAATTTTAGAGCGGACGGTAATTGATTTAAGAGATATATTACTTTTAGGGACACACTTAGTGACTTGATTCCAATTGATGGATTTGTAAGGGAACTATTTGCTGCAGTTTTCTGATCTGAACAATTTGTTCGAATATTGCAGCACTGTCCTTGAAGCCGAATTTTGTAAAAATATCTTGTCACGAAGAACTTGATTCTGATCGTTCAGTTTGTATGATTGCTTTAGTCGTCCGAAATTCGCAGCTTATTGGGAAGAAAAGGATGTGTACAAAACGATATCTGAAAACGGAACTAGTTGGTGTACATACAGACAGACGAAAAAAATAACATGACATCTTCAGTTTGAAATATGATTGAACATAGCAGCAAAATTTTGTAAATTCAGAAAATATCTTAAATATTAATTTAAAACTTTAGTAGGGTTTTTTTAAATTGTTTATTGAATACTATGTAAAACCAAGTAGACTTTTTTCCTGAATTAAAAAATAAATAGGATGTAAAGGAAAATAATTTTGATACAAAACATTAACAGTTGACACTGTAATAATATAAAAATTATCAGAAAAAAATTATGATTGTGTTGTATCTAATATTCATCATTATTTTGGTGTTCGAAATACAATGCCGGGCGAGCTCATAATCGAATTGAATTTCAAACATTTTCCAGTCATCAGACTTCAAGAAATGTTTGCTAGAAAAAAATACCGAAAAATTTAAAAATCGTGTGTTACTGCCGAATAAAAACCACAGATTAAATGTGTTTTCATGAAAATCCTCACATCAGATGCAATTAAATAAAAATGCAATSAAATATTGTTAAATACAAAATCGTTTTATCTTCGCAGATGACTTAATATTTATGTAAAAGTACATAAAACTAAAAGCATACATACATATAATATTCATATAATATTTTATTGTATTTGTTTTCCCTTAACTTAAGGTACAAGCGCGATATTGACTTCTTATTTGCTGGAGAGAAGAAAATTCATTATGAATTCATTATGAATTTTCTTAAGCAAATTACTGATTACCAAATGACTCAATTTGACTTAGAAATAATAAATAGTATAGTTAAAATACACAACGAATCTGTTACTTATTTTTTTCTGAATCTTTGCGTTGAATATGTACATAAATCAATTAATAATAACCGGCTTAAGTGATGCTTATATAACTACTAAGAACTAAGACCTAAAACCCTCAACGCGATACAACAATACATACATACACATAAACGTACTTACAGTTATAGAAATAGGCAATGATGCGACCAAGAAATAGTAATATTATTGCGCTTAAAAATAATACCATTTATACAACTGAGATAGAGATGTGGCAGACAGCCTGGCAGGAACGGCATCGGCACAGCGGCTAGTTTGGTTTACCTAAAAAGCTTTGAGGCTTCTAACTAACAACTGTAGCGCTACCGAAGTTTACAGATGCTTCTTTTCTTGAGCCGTGTTCGCGGTGTTCGCCGGTGCACCGTTCAGATTCTTGGCACTTATATCGTTATTGTTGTCGTTGGCTGCAGCTGCAGCTGCAGCTGCTGCAGCGCATTTGGCACTCAGGGCATCTGCTTGTGCTTGTTGCTTCTTTTTGTATGATTTCTGGTAGAAATCATTGAAGAGATAGTAGAAGAAGATGGCGTTGGGCAGGGTGAAGCACACACTCCATCTGGGATAACCGCAGTCGGTGTAAAGTAGCTGAGTTTGATGGATGAAGACCATGCAGAATTGGACCTGTGAAAAGAGAGGAGATAGAAGGAGAGAGTTTTAAAACAAGAAAAAAGTTCAATTTGGCTGTATCGAAAGTATAAAAAACTTTACTGGTGCATTTCTTTTACGAATTGAATTTGATTTTGTTCGGTTTGTTGTTTGGCAGGTATAGAACTCTCAACTGAACAATTTCTCCACAAATTTTATTGTTGGCTTGAACAATAATACATGCCAAATTTCATATCTTGTCAAATTAAAAAAAATKTCATGCAAAGACATAATTTTCATCGCTGAGTATCAGTTTATATAGCAGTTATACCCTATGGATGTCCGATATCGGCGATTCCTACAAATGAGTAGTTTCTTGGAGAGAAAAACAACATCTCTAGTCTGACATAGCAAAATCCAATTGGCATGTATTTACATACAAGTATATACTTGATTTGGCCCTCAACGTTCCTTTCTAAGTGTACAAATTTCGTGGCAAACTTTATGCAAGCTACATAAAGGTTATAAATATGGTATATCACCACCTAAAGATTGGCTTTATAAATTTGCTTGGAATTATTAAGTTAATTATTCATCTTCCATTTGTTATCAACAGCTAKTGCTGAAAGTCTGCATCTTCACTTTCAATTAGAAATACTACGCAGTCCAAGAAGGGGCATGATACCGGTTCAATGTCAAATTAGCTGTATAAGGTCTATGCTTATGGGTGTACAGTTACTCATTAACAACATAACCGTTACTCACCATTTGCAGTGTGGTAATGTGTGATTTCCACCACAAATACTTTTGCATTTTTGGTCCAAACGCCGATAAGAAGTAGTAGGTGTACATAACGATGTGCACAAATGAGTTAATCCAACCGATGAAGGTGCCATGGCCGCCGGGAAAATACTTGGTGGTGCCCCATGAGATCAATGGCATAACGGAGTGATGGTAAACATGCAGAAATGTRACTTGACGTTCATTTTTACGCAGCACAAAGAAGACGGTATCCAATAATTCGGTGATTTTAGCCAGATAGTAGACGTAAACGCCAAACGCTTCCTGTGCGAAGAATGAATAATAGAAAAATATTGATAATTTAAAAAAAAAATGTATTAAGTGTGTAGCTGTTGTAGTGATATTTAACTTACTCTCACGGCTCGTGGACTGAACGAGCGATCCACCGGCTGGCAACGCCAATTGTAATAACGCCATGCAACGCAACCCTACGTCAAAATAAGGTGGTAAAATAGATGAATAATAATTTAAAACTAAAACTTCAATTTTATAGAATTTACACAAAAAYTTTTGAAGCAAGTGTTATGCAAATTTAGAGAAGTCGAGGGATCGTGGAATAATTTGTGTTTAAGATTCAGCAACGTTTGATGCGCTGATATACAACTCTAAGGGATATCAAAAATGTAGAGCGTATGCATACACTCGTAAGCCTCTTCAAATTTATTTTTAATAAATATACACATATGTAAAAAATTAGTATGACTTTAGTAGCTTCATTGGAGGATTTGATCAAAAAATGAAAGGCCTCTGTGTAATGGCTAGTTTCCTATGGAATTAAAGTAACTTGAATAATAAAATGTTACTATAATTCTGAGAAAGTTCTATAATCAACCAAATGTTGTGCCAAGTATTGCATTATATTTTCTGCAAATGCTTAGGAATGATGAAGAACTGTAATAAATGGAAATTCAAATATAAAAAAGTTCCAAATTAATACAAAATATTTTCATATAAAACTTCAAAATATTTTTTTGATTATACAAATTGTATGCTCAATAACCTTCAAGCTAATCTTAAAGTTTGGGACTACCCCAAGTTTTGCACCTACTGAAAACACATGTAAAAACAAAGTAAAAAGAGACCTGACTTCCTCTAAGCATTATTATGCTGATGACCAATAAGTCGTCAGCTGACATATATACTATTTCCAGCAAAGTGATTGACCCACTGACTGTGCTGGTTCAAATATGTAAATGAAATGTTTGTCATGGTGAGTACGCCTAATTTAGAACTAGTCCAAAAACGTGTTTTCTCGTTTATATATTCTTTTGTAAATTCGGCAATTTTTATTATTACTCAAAGTCTGGTATTTAAGGAGTCCCATTAATATCGATAATTGAAAAACTGGAATTTGTGTAATTTGTTTATTGTAAATAACGGTTATTGGTGGTTTCAATTTGCTTTTATTGAAATGAAATTTACTGAAATCAATGCGTCTTAATGCTTATGAAAATATTTAGAAATGAATTTGATTCCAAAAGGATAACAGCTTATTATACAAATTGATTTTATTTAAAAAATATTCAAGTATTTATCTTATGTAGTTTACAAAGTTCGTATTAGAAGTACAAAAAATCTAAAATTATTTATTTCATTGAAAAAGCTTTAAATAGCATAAATAATAAGATTCTAAAAAGCAGAAATAAAAGGAGGAGGAATATTTTTGTGGTGAAAAATATTATCTTTTAAAATTATTAATTTCATTGGAACGTCTTATGTAACAAAGAATAATTTATTACATCAAAATTATAGAAAAAATTTAAATAAAATTCGAATAAAGGGAATGGTAGCTTTTTTAGGCATTCAGATTTCAAGATAAAGATATATGAATATATTCACTCAATACTGTAAATGAAGTTTTAGATTTTAGATCAATGAAGAAGCCTTTGGAAATGTTTAAAAAAATAAAACAAAATAAACCATAGTAAAACCACGAAACCTATTGGAAACGAGAGATAAAGTAAGAATTTACGGCTGATCTGGGATCGGGAAGAGAAAGACAATTTTTTAAATTTTTAAAATCTAAGTTATGCATAATMACAAGTAGAGAAGGGCTAACCAACATGTTGCAAGAGTATAAAAATATTTATTTTTGTATTAACACCTTTTTCCCATAACCTCAATATGTATGTAAAATATAAATTTTTTTATATAAAATTTGAAAAAATAAATTTTTCACATCCTCAAAATGTATGTAAAAACAAATAAAACAGAAACATTTTCTATAGAAAAAAATATAACATCAAAATTTATATAAAGAATAGTTTATTTTAAAAAATGTCTTTTTACATAAATTTCGTGGTTATAACAAATAATTTTTTACATAATTTTTGAGATCTTAAAATAATTATTATCTCAGCTTTTTGCTTACCAAATATGTTGTAACTATTTTGATTTTATTTATGGTAAATACGAAATTGTTTGACCTAATTTTGGAAAAATTCAAAAAATCTATAATTTTCAAGCGAAAATTCTCACGCATAAAACCGTATACACTGATGCTTTTGTACATTTATTGTTTGAAGTAATGTATTCAATTTTGACGAATGAATATATCGTTAATAAAATCGAATGCGTTATTGGGAATAATTATCTCCATTGGCAAGTAGATATTTGAGTAAATTGATTATAATAGTATTAATTTTTATTTATTCACCATTTGAAATTTGTGTTAATATAAAAATAAAGAAAAAAAATTTCAATTTTAAATGCAAAAAAAATTGCTCAGACACTTAAAAATAAAACTTTTTAGTTTACACATTACAAATTTTAAATTTTAATTGAACCAAAAACTTTGCGAAAAAGATTTAATTGAACCGTAATTAAAAAATTTATATTAAAATAAAATATTTATAATCAGTTAAAAACTGAAAAAATTTCAAACTTTGTGTCTAAATACTACGCCGTTTAGGTTTATTAAATATGTAGAAAAAAGTTTATTTGTAGTCATAAACTCAAAGCAAATGTGGAAATTAATTCGTAAAAGCGTCTATTGTAAAAGGCAATTCGCATGTGAACATTCAAAGCAGCAAATATTATATGTGAAGTATAACAAACCAAAAAATGAATAATGATCTTTGCTTTGCAAAATGTGTAATCAAAACTTATTTTCACACAATATACCTAAAACCGCCGCTACAATTTGCATTGCAATATATGTATTTGTATATACAAATATTTTTGACTTTAAGCAAACATAAAAGAAATATAGAAAAATCAATAAAATAGAAAAATCAAAAAAATATTTGGTCATACTTACCTCATAGAACATCCAAGCGCTAACCACTACTTGCAAGAAATTGTACACAATCAAAGTCTTTTCCAATTGGAATGGCTTGCGATCGCGCATGTAACGCGGTCCCCAAGATAGCACAAAGTACAAATAAAGCGCAACAATGGAGAATATCGGCACCGGCGACTTAATTAGAAACCAATCATTTGTACGTTCATCTGTTGAGGAAGTAAAGTAAGTATTGTTGTTATTTGCAGTACTGTCAATATATTTTATTGTTGCACAATTAATTATTGTGGAAGTGAACTGCATTTAACGTAGCTTATAAAATGAACTATTGAGTAGTTCAATTCGATTAAGTGCTTGATAATTTGTTGCTAAGCTGAAGTATTTATATATCTTTCTTTTAACATTTCTCTTTGTATTTATATTTTATTTTACTTACCAGCCAATTCGACGAATAGGAAACTCCATACGTCATTGTCGGTTGCGTTCAGATCCGCCATTTTTTGCTCGTGTTTCGCTTGCTCAGCTTACGGAGTGTTTATTAAAAATTGATGACTTGCAATTCGTTTACGATTATTGAATTGTTCTGCATAAGCCCATGCGCTGCTTGTGCTGCCGCTGCTTCTTTGATTATTAATTAGTTCTAATCAAAACTTTATCAACCAAACCAAACAGAACTAAGTTATGTATCTGAAAAAAGAAATTGTGAAAATGGTTTAAAGTCGTTTTATTTATCATATGTTTCTTTCTTAACTAAGGTCATAACTATAAATTTCAATAACTTTAAAAGTTTTGTTTGAAAAGATTTTTTTTTTAGAAATTACAGGCGTTSAAAACATATTTAAAGGAAATTTTCAATTGTAATTATAAACAATATAAATATAAACTCTGTGATGCGTGACACCCGCCACTTGTATTTGAAATTATATACATATGTATGTATATCAAAAAGTACTCAACCAATACCTACCAGATTTGGTGAGTGAGCATATCTAATTATTGCTATTGTATACATGGAAATGAGTGAAATCGACTAACAACCACGCCTACTTCTCATATAAMAAAGTCTACTTTCACTTTAAAGTATAGATCAAAGTTATCAGAGTAAAACTTTGTCCTAAAGGCATTCAAGTTTGCGCCGGAAAATGGACTATAAATTTTAATGGGCACAGATACCAAATATGTGGACATGTTTGATACATATCGTGCATTCTGTGAGTTCTAGTACTGAAATTCGTGGAGAATATCGGTGATATATTGTCTAAGTCCATGTTCTCCAATTCGAGCCAAAAATATTTGTTTACTATTAAGCGGAAGCGATTTWAATTCACAATAAAGTGACGGTCTTGATCATCACGGAAGAAGTACGGCCCATAAACCGCACCAAACGATAATGTTTTCGGGACGTAATGTGGCTCATGGAGTACTTGTGTGTGCATATTTTGCTTATTGACAAAGCCATGCAGCCAGAAATGAGAGATTTCGATTTTTCAAAGGGAATTACATAAAGTCTTCAGATTTGGAAGGATAATTTCATTGTTGCTGCAATTAGCTCTTCAGTAAAATTTAAGGTAATTAGATGGTGCGGTATCACAATATCAGTCAAGTAGTCTCTGAAATCTGTAATTTCTTGAATGTTCTCAYAATTGTATGAAATCTTCCTCTTAACTATTTGCGTAAATATGATTTTTTAGCAGAATCGCTTATTTAGTTATCTTTTTCTTAGTTCTATATATTTTATATTCCATTCAAGTATCTATTTTTTCCTGGTTATGCTCAATCTCACCTAGTTATTTATTTTTCTGGGAACAAATAGACAGACTGATATACAAATAATGCATAAGCAATTCGTCTCGTCATTCTGAACACTTTGATATACCTAAAACCCAGTATTSATTTCAGTTATTTTAAGGTGTTACAAATAAGCGTTAGGTGCACTCTTCTGCATGAAAATCATACAAAGGAAATTTTTCGACAAGCCATAATTAACGTATATTCACTGCTTTTGATGAAAATATATGAGTTGAGACATATCTCAAATTCACAATGAAAGCTATTAACTTGTCATACAACGCGCAATCAAAATATTAAACAACATAAATTTCAAATTACTTTCGGAACCCACATGCACATCTCGTGTGCCCATCTCTGAAAGACACAGCACCATTGCCGGTCAGTCGACATGTAATGCCATATATATGAGTGTGAATGCACACACATGTATACAAATGCAAATATGCGTAAATATAACAATTCAGTCAGTACGTAAGTTTTTGCGTGTTTGTTTGTATTTAAGCCTTCTCTTTTTAATTTTTTAAATCCAAAATTGCACAACAAACACTCGAAGTTAACAAGTTACACGCTTGCCGGTACAATTTATACCATCTAAAACTTAATCTATATTTATATATGACAATGATAGTTGAATTTTTTATTAATGGGTACGAATTTTAAGGGCATTTTTAATACAAAATATAACTATATATACAGAGCAGTACAAGTACAAAATCAACATAAAGWCCTTTCTAAACCTCTTTATGCTATAAAAACTGCACATGTGCAGGGTATTACGCTTCGGTGCAAACGAAATCTTTTCTTTCACTCGAGTTATACGAGCACCTGTGGAGATATACACATATACGCTTATACAAATGTAAATGTCAACGTATTCATATGTGCACATCATCTTTAGCGATTTATTTGCAATTGCATAAAAAGAAAATGTGTCAGAAATGAGAAATAATCAAAATCACGGTCAAAATGCTGGCCTACAGCTGGCTGAAATAGTTCAGCAATTACACTCAACGCCGAGGCAAAGGTGAATTTGCTTGAGTGGTGTAAACAAATGGCGGGATAAATGCATGTGTGCGTRTGTGTGTTACAATGTGAGCAAAAGAAAAGAAAATAATAATAGTTTTGTATATTTGTCACTTTGTTGTAACTACACCTGTTGCTTTTGCCCATTGTGTGCGATTTTTACTGTTATTATAAAATATTTGATGCTGCTACAGTGCGTATGCTTATGAACATATATTTGTGTGTAAAGAAATGTGCGTAGAATTTTGTAATACACATTTGCGGTAATACAATAATTTATTATCATTATCATTATATTTAATATATGGRTTGCATATTATTTACATTTAACAAACGTTAAGTTGTGGTATGGGAAGTTCAGCTTTTGTCCAGTTTCTTCATATTTCTGTGAAGTGAGCCATATAAACAGTCGTCGCACTCGCGACTTGGCCTTACGTTGTTGACAGTCATAACTTTGAAGTTGTAAATAATTTGGTCTATTTAGAAACCAGTATTAATACCAACAATRTCAGCCTGGAAATCCAACGCAGGATTACTATTGCCAACAGGTGCTACTTCGAACTGAGTAGGCAATTGAGAAGCAAAGTCCTCTCTGGACGAACAAAAACCAAACTTTACAAGTCACTCATCATCCCCGTTCTGTTGTATGGTGCAGAGGCTTGGACGATGACAACAACTGATGAGTCGACGTTGCGAGTTTTCGAGAGAAAGGTTTTGCGAAAGATTTATGGTCCTTTGCGCATGGGCCACTGCGAATATCGCATTCGATGGAACGATGAGCTGTAGGAGATATACGACGACATTGAAAGCCGATATTGATCAGGGAATTAAGAGACAGCGGCTACGCTGGCTAGACCATGAAAGTATTGGACGCAGTACCCGCCGGGGGAAGCAGAGGAAGAGGAAGACCTCCACTCCGTTGGCAGGACCAARTGGAGAATGAACTGGCTTCGCTTGTAATATGCAATTAGCGCCACGTAGCGAAAAGAAAAAACGACTGACGCGCTGTTGTTAACTCTTCTATAATCGCGTAAGCGGTGTCTACGCCAGTAAAGAAGAAGAACCCCTATAATGGTCTTCAATATCTACTTTCTTATATATAAAAAAAAAAAAAAAAATTGTATTACAAAAATTAAAATTTATTGTATGATATTATATTACAGCAAAAAGTGATAAGTATGTATATGTGAATCAGAATTTTATAAACTCTGTTGGCAATCAAAATATCTGATCTGAAAAATCCTCGCCCTGACAACGACGAGTTGATGATTCGGAGCAGTGTTAGAAATGTTTAAGCCCAATAAACCGGAGTTGTGCCTCGATATATGACAACGGATGAAACATGGCTTCATCGTTTCACTCCGAATTTCGATCGGGCGTATATGATTGGACCGCGCACGATGAACCCGCCCCAAATCGTGGAAAAAGCCAACAATCGTCTGGCAAGGTTATCGCGTCTGTATTTTGAGATGCGCAAAGAGCATTCTTTTTAAATACCTTGAAATTGGAAGGAAAATCAACAGCGACTATTATTTTAAAGGGAGAAATCGTTGACTCATTTGAATAAAAAAGAAAGAGCGGTTTCACCAACGCAAATTTTACTTTTTTATCTCAGATGAATCTCTAAGGTTTAATGATGGATACTGCAAAGCACTTCGGTTGTAACTGGATCAACACAAACAGCCACTGGTTTTAAAATTATGATTTTGCTTTCCGAATTTCTGTCAAGTCAAGGCGAAACCTTATTTAATGAAGTTATGGTTGTACTTTTATAAAATCAAATAATATCTTAGGAAAAAGAAATATACATTTTGTAATCACTAACCATACTCAACACCTCATATACAATATTTATTGTTTGAGTTTTCTAGAATCATGTTCCAATTTTCAGTTCAATTAGTTCACCAGCGTATAAGTATTCGAATTTGTGAGTGAAGCTAATTAGCTTTCATATATGTAAACTTAATGCAGCAATTTAATTAAACTAGTGGCACATTTCAAATTTATTGGCATGCTAACTTAAACTGAATAAAAATAGGTCAATGAATAAACAATAKATAATTCACATACATATGTCCATGAAAGTATGACTTTCAAATAGTATTTTTAGAAATAATGGTTCAAATTTCATTTAAGTTCGGCAACAATTTTTGGGAAAGTCTAAAAAAATATGCGGAAGTCTTTCTTAATTATCATTGCATTTAATATCATATATGTAGCGATATCTCTACATTTAATGGTACTGCTCCTTTGAAGAAGAAGAAAGAGAAGAAGGTTTCTAATTCTAGTAGTATTTAAGTAGTTYTTACTAGTTAATAGCAAAGCGGTTRTTTCCTAATCTATATTTTGCATACAATGACTAAACTTTTTACACCATGYGATTGTTAGCACCATTCGCATCGGGCGTATAAGTACTTCTTACAGTGTCAATGAAATCTTCAAATTCTCAAATGACCACCAAATTTGAGCCTTTGTGAAAGAGACTTCAACAAATATTTGTTTGCTAGTTTTCATATTTGATTTGCTCAACACAAACTTTTGAAATCGATTTAGACTTATGTCAATGCCTGTTCATTACTTTTATTGCCTTTTGGCACATTTGCCCACACTGCTTTTAGCTGTACTGAGACTAAGTGACCAACGCAGTTGCTGGCCTCACATTTTCAAAAAACAGAAAAATAAAAACAATTTTAATTTTTTCCAACCTTTTCATATTTCTTGTAAAAAGCCTCCAATATGAGCACTATTTTTCAACTCTAAAGGATCATGTTTTTATTTTTCAAAAATTTAAAAAAATATGTTTTATTGCAAT